TACTATTGGAGTCGCAATGGAGAAGCTAAGAGAGCTCTACAATCCAAAGAAGTATGGATTGGTAATTAATGTGGTTCTGTTTTTCTTAACCCAAGAACCCTCTCCTCCCCAATTCCCCAATTCCATTTCAATGGATTCAGATCCCCTCTATTTATCATTTTTCTTCATTTTCCTTCAATACAGTGCTAGATGAGTGATATGTGTAGGATTTTGAATGTTAATGAACAAAGTTTTTTCTTTGTGAGAAAATTCATTAACCATAGTTAATATTAAGAGAGGATAGCGCANGGGGGGGGTTTCGGGTTCTACTATTGGAGTCACAATGGAGAAGCTAAGAGAGCTCTACAATCCAAAGAAGTATGGATTGGTAATTAATGTGGTTCTTTTTTTCTTAACCCAAGAACCCTCTCCTCCCCAGTTCCCCAATTCCATTTCAATGGATTCAGATCCCCTCTATTTATCATTTTTCTTCAATACAGTGTTAGATGAGTGATATGTGTAGGATTTTGAATGTTAATGAACAAAGTTTTTTCTTTGTGAGAAAATTCATTAACCATAGTTAATATTAAGAGAGGATAGCTCACAAAAATGGTTGAAATTGGACTTCATCAAGGCATTGGGTTTTTTTTTTTTTTTTCCTTCATTAAAATGGGTTCACAAGGGCAATTGGGGTGCAATCCGTGTTTGGGCATGATCATAGCAGCTTGAACCCACAAGGGAAGTCTACCAATAGAGCTTAGACGTCACANGCTAAGAGAGCTCTACAATCCAAAGAAGTATGGATTGGTAATTAATGTGGTTCTGTTTTTCTTAACCCAAGAACCCTCTCCTCCCCAATTCCCCAATTCCATTTCAATGGATTCAGATCCCCTCTATTTATCATTTTTCTTCATTTTCCTTCAATACAGTGCTAGATGAGTGATATGTGTAGGATTTTGAATGTTAATGAACAAAGTTTTTTCTTTGTGAGAAAATTCATTAACCATAGTTAATATTAAGAGAGGATAGCTTACAAAAATGGTTGAAATTGGACTTCATCAAGGCATTGGGTTTTTTTTTTTTTTTCCTTCATTAAAAAGGGTTCACAAGGGCAATTGGGGTGCAATCCGTGTTTGGGCATGATCATAGCAGCTTGGACCCACAAGGGAAGTCTACCAATAGAGCTTAGACGTCACAAAATCGTAGACACTCCCCAAGGCCGACTCGAGTCATAGTCTAACGTTGCGCCACAGAGATGCCAATGAGAATAGATGAAATTCCCTCCTTGAATCGAATCTTTTTCGTTAACCACATGAGAGTAAACGAGGACCCTCAATAGAGCATTGGATCACTAACCCGTTGATATGGAGGCATTGCATTAGTTAAGCATTCCATCAAACAAATATAGAAATAGAACATAAGGGTTTGTGTCTATCACTCGCTCTTCCTGACTAGTTGAGAGAGGAAATTATTGCCTTGGGTGGGTCGGCTGATCAGTCTTCTCTACTTGGCACATCATAACCTATGCAAAAAGACCTGAATGCTCATCTAAAATGGTATGTCAGCAAGCCAATTTTTTTTGACTTAGACCTCTCCAACCTTGATATTTATGTGTCTCACGAGATTATAATAACACTAAAAGTCAATTAGGTGGTTGAAGCGTATTGAAGATGGATTTTTATATTGTGTTAGATTAGTAAGTTAACTTAGAGACCTAGTTAAGCCTCGGGTGGTTAATAATATTCACTAAATTAGAGGGTTTACCTCGTTTGAGTGGATTATATTTAGCTCTGGAGTTTTATTTAAATAATAAAAGTTTTAAAATTTGGGAACCATTTTTTGAGACTAATTCATCAAAACTTTGGTTTATTTAGCTTCTAGGTATTTAGCAATAGAGTATAAAGATTTAGTAAGGACTTTTACATACATTGAGAGCCTTTAATACTGATTGAGAAAAAACCCTAGGCACTGTGTGTGATTTGAGTAAATATCATTGTTGCATTTATAATTGATTTAACATTTTTCACAAATATTGAAAGTACATATCTATACTATATAACATAGCAAATAAATTAGATGCGAGAGGTCTTGGAAGACCTTTCGTCCATATTATCTCAATTATTAGAATTTTGACTTATTTTAATTTATTTCAATCCAATTACATTTCATCATGTGACATAAATCATTCCCTCCGCTAACTAATAACTTATCATTTAAATATTTTTTTAAAAATATTTTTTATCACCCAAAGTTTTTATAATTATTTATCTAATTTCTTTACTCCTTAAATAGCGGGGTGATAGAAAGGAAAAGATAATGAACGGCGTAAAGAAAGGTGATGAGATATAAATCTGTGCATCGCACGCGATCGTCGCTAGTATATATAATAATATAATTTTGCTAGCCTTTTAAATTTATAAGAAAGAGAGAAGAAAGTGCGGTTATGTCATTGGTGTTCCACAAGCATTAACGGTCGGTTGTGGATTTGTTGAGTTTTATGNTTTTAGCTTTTAGCTTTTTATACTTGGGATGGATTTTGTATATATAAAATAATTTTTAAATTAAAAATTTGTTCATTCAAAAATTTAATGCTTAATTTTTTTAATTTATCAACCACCACTTAATTAGCCAAATTTCAATTCCAACAATTCCAATGTAGCAAGAAGAAAGACTTGAAGTTAATAGGATCGAAATTCAACTCAACTCAACAAAGTGTTGTTTCAACGTTTTTAAGGTCGACTGCATGAATCTTGTTCCGTCATTAAACTCTATCAACGACAATATTTTTTGTTAAACCATGTGTTATCATATCTTTCTTTATTATTTTATTTAAAATTAATTTTAGTCTTCTTCCACCTCAACGTTTATTTTCAATAACTATCATATCACTCTTTCTTATTGGTGCCGTTGTAGACCATATATAAATATGTTCAAATCACATAAGTCGATTCTCTATTAACTTATCTCTTATTTGTTTTTCCTCTATTTTTTTTTCAAATATATTCGTTCATGCATTCTTATATTTGTCACACATAATTTTTATACATATTATTTCTTAATTGTCCAACGCTCAACCCTTGTCGTTGCATCAAACCCGTGACCTTTTGACCTTACCATTGNTCAACGACAATATTTTTTGTTAAACCATGTGTTATCATATCTTTCTTTATTATTTTGTTTAAAATTAATTTTAGTCTTCTTCCACCTCAACGTTTATTTTCAATAACTATCATATCATTCTTTCTTATTGGTGCCGTAGTAGACCATATATAAATATGTTCAAACCACATAAGTCGATTCTCTATTAACTTATCTCTTATTTGTTTTTCCTCTATTTTTTTTTCAAATATATTCGTTCATACATTCTTATATTTGTCACACATAATTTTTATACATATTATTTCTTAGTTGTCCAACGCTCAACCCTTGTCGTTGCATCAAACCCGTGACCTTTTGACCTTACCATAGCAACTTTCGACACGTAGACTTGAACCCATGCACTTTAAATTACGATGGAGCTAATCTAACTATTACGTTAAGCCTCCCCTAAAGATGGTATGATTTTAATTCTGCCAAAAAAAAATAAAAATTAATTACATTGAAGATCCCTAAAGTATAAAATATTTCGTTTTAGTCCTTAATATTTTAATTGTATCATTTTTAGCTTTAAAATATTGAATATATTTCTATGTGATTTTTTAAATAGACAATATCTGAATTGCTAATGATTTTTAATTATAAACTTGTCACGTGATATCTAAATATGGATAAAAAATAATTTTGGTATTTCTTGACCAAAATTTGGGTAAGTCTTAAGAAAAAATATGTAATATAANATTTATTTCAATCCAATTACATTTCATCATGTGACATAAATCATTCCCTCCGCTAACTAATAACTTATCATTTAAATATTTTTTTAAAAATATTTTTTATCACCCAAAGTTTTTATAATTATTTATCTAATTTCTTTACTCCTTAAATAGCGGGGTGATAGAAAGGAGAAGATAATGAACGGCGTAAAGAAAGGTGATGAGATATAAATCTGTGCATCGCACGCGATCGTCTCNATTTTTTGTTAAACCATGTGTTATCATATCTTTCTTTATTATTTTATTTAAAATTAATTTTAGTCTTCTTCCACCTCAACGTTTATTTTCAATAACTATCATATCACTCTTTCTTATTGGTGCCGTTGTAGACCATATATAAATATGTTCAAATCACATAAGTCGATTCTCTATTAACTTATCTCTTATTTGTTTTTCCTCTATTTTTTTTTCAAATATATTCGTTCATGCATTCTTATATTTGTCACACATAATTTTTATACATATTATTTCTTAATTGTCCAACGCTCAACCCTTGTCGTTGCATCAAACCCGTGACCTTTTGACCTTACCATAGCAACTTTCGACACGTAGACTTGAACCCATGCACTTTAAATTACGATGGAGCTAATCTAACTATTACGTTAAGCCTCCCCTAAAGATGGTATGATTTTAATTCTGCCAAAAAAAAATAAAAATTAATTACATTGAAGATCCCTAAAGTATAAAATATTTCGTTTTAGTCCTTAATATTTTAATTGTATCATTTTTAGCTTTAAAATATTGAATATATTTCTATGTGATTTTTTAAATAGACAATATCTGAATTGCTAATGATTTTTAATTATAAACTTGTCACGTGATATCTAAATATGGATAAAAAATAATTTTGGTATCTCTTGACCAAAATTTGGGTAAGTCTTAAGAAAAAATATGTAATATGAATAGTTTTTAAACAAAATTTGGATAATTCATAATCAAAATCGTGTAATTTGAGTAGATTTTTAAACCAAATTTGAGAAAAAATTTAGTGGGTGTTATCCAAATTATTTTTTTGCCCATATTCAGATATTGTATGACAAATTTATAATTAAAAATCATTAGTAATTTGAATGCTATCTGAAGGAGGAATCATATAAAAATATTTTAATACTCAAAAATAATATAATTAAAATATTAAAAAAAAAATAAAATAAATTCTATATTTTAATGACGTACAGTGCAATTAACCCAAAAAAATTTGTGAATGGATAATTTGTAGGAAACGTGGCACCATAGGGAAGCAAGTAAACGTGCGAAAAATCGAACTGTTCCGAGACACTACTTCTGGGCCTCTGGCTAAGTACGATTCATTTCTCACCGGAGATATAGCTCAGCCTCAGTTGATTTGTTGAACACTTTGAGATATGAATCAGTGTATGAATATTCGAATTCAAGCCCCTCCCTCATCTTCTGCATTTCGTCTTCCTCCGCTCTCCTCCAGTCCTTCGCGTTCTAACAAAGCCCCTCTGTAAGTAATTTCATTTTAATTTCTGCTATATTTGTTTGACCATGATCATAGATTTATACCCATTTGACTGATTACCCAAAAAAAAAAGAGAGATTAAAGTCTACAGATTATCTATTGCTATTTTAAAGGTAAACTGTTTGCATTTTTTGTACTTCATTGAAGTAATGGTCAATTGAATTTGTTATTTGATTATGGTAGATTAGTAGTGACGTTTTTTATGTTTATTTCTGCGAATTTTCTCATAGGCTGTTGGCACGGGCGATATGGTGTTCTTCTTCTTGTTCCGCCAGATGCTACTTGAGATGGTCTGATGAGGCATCATCTTTATTGTCGAAGGGAACAATCAGCAGGTGTTCATCAGGGTTGGGAGCATTGGTGACTTCTAGACCTCAAGATGCACCCACTAGGCCACCTGTTGGTGACGATAAAATAGGAGTATTGTTGCTGAACCTTGGAGGTCCAGAGACTCTTGAAGATGTGCAGCCCTTCTTGTTCAACCTTTTTGCTGATCCGGTCGGTAAAATAAATTGCTCTCTCTTTTATTGTGCAGTCATCTTAGGGGTCATTGCCTTATGTAGTGGTAAAAGTGTTGGCTAACAGCTATGATGATTTGGGTTGGAATTTGATGGTAGGCATTCTGCGTGGATAATGTTAAGAGTTAGGTTAGGGGTGCAAGCGAGCCAAATTCAACCTGAGTCCAATCCAAAAGGGCTTGAGTTCGAATTTTTAATACATGGGTTGAGCTTGGGCAAAAAAACTCCAATTCGAATTAAAATCGGGCAAGCTTCGGATTGAGGTCTCGAGTNATAAATTGCTCTCTCTTTTATTGTGCAGTCATCTTAGGGGTCATTGCCTTATGTAGTGGTAAAAGTGTTGGCTAACAGCTATGATGATTTGGGTTGGAATTTGATGGTAGGCATTCTGCGTGGATAATGTTAAGAGTTAGGTTAGGGGTGCAAGCGAGCCAAATTCAACCTGAGTCCAATCCAAAAGGGCTTGAGTTCGAATTTTTAATACATGGGTTGGGCTTGGGCAAAAAAACTCCAATTCGAATTAAAATCGGGCAAGCTTCGGATTGAGGTCTCGAGTTGTTAGGTTCAACCCAAATATTAAAATTAGGTTGAACCCGAATATATATAAATATATTTAACTAGGGTTAGTATTTATCTTCAATCTTCAGAGTCCAGACTTTCACTTCACTTCAAGTATTCGCCCCAATACCTCCATTACTCTCAGATCACTCTCTCACTCGTCACTCGTTTATCAACTGATCTCAGACTCTCAGTCTCCCTCTCTCACTCATTTGTGTCTCGTCTCAAACTCTCAGCCTCCTTCTCACACTTGTCACTCCTCTCTCTTTTATCAATCCGAGCTCAATCTATTTTTTAACTCGAAATTAGCCCGAATTAAATAACTTGAATTCAATCCGAGCTCGCCCGAATTAAATTCGGACAATACTTGGGTTGAGTACCCCGGGTTGAAGTTGGGTTGGAATTAAGATTAGGGTTGAAAATTATATACTTAAAGTTGGGTAAGGATTGACCTCTCAACCAGTCCAACCCGCCCGACTTGCACTTAGGCCACCCATTCCTTGACCATCCATTAATGGATACTAGGTAACGACCCCTTATTCAATTAATCAGTAAAACTATGTTTCTTCTTCTTATTATTTGTGTACACTTGTACACATTTTACAATGATATAGGATATTATTCGACTGCCAAGATCGTTTGCTTTTCTGCAAAAGCCATTGGCGCAATTCATATCTTCTGCCAGAGCACCAAAGAGTAAGGAAGGGTACGCTTCAATTGGTGGTGGTTCTCCTCTTCGACGGATAACTGATGCACAGGCATGGCTTATGGCATAGTAACATTCTTCACTCATTAATAGCTTATCTGCACTTACATATTGTTTTAGATCTTTGTCACTTCTTGGAGCATCTTGTACTCTATAAATTTTGTAATTTCACATTATTGTAATGTTAACTCATCAGAAATTAAGAAGAGACGAGATAGAAGTTGCTTGTTCAGATGTGTTGAACTTCTCTCTGTCTGTTTAGCCATAATAAACAATTTATAACTTGAGGCATTGGATAGTGACGGTAGTNACCTCCATTACTCTCAGATCACTCTCTCACTCGTCACTCGTTTATCAACTGATCTCAGACTCTCAGTCTCCCTCTCTCACTCATTTGTGTCTCGTCTCAAACTCTCAGCCTCCTTCTCACACTTGTCACTCCTCTCTCTTTTATCAATCCGAGCTCAATCTATTTTTTAACTCGAAATTAGCCCGAATTAAATAACTTGAATTCAATCCGAGCTCGCCCGAATTAAATTCGGACAATACTTGGGTTGAGTACCCCGGGTTGAAGTTGGGTTGGAATTAAGATTAGGGTTGAAAATTATATACTTAAAGTTGGGTAAGGATTGACCTCTCAACCAGTCCAACCCGCCCGACTTGCACTTAGGCCACCCATTCCTTGACCATCCATTAATGGATACTAGGTAACGACCCCTTATTCAATTAATCAGTAAAACTATGTTTCTTCTTCTTATTATTTGTGTACACTTGTACACATTTTACAATGACATAGGATATTATTCGACTGCCAAGATCGTTTGCTTTTCTGCAAAAGCCATTGGCGCAATTCATATCTTCTGCCAGAGCACCAAAGAGTAAGGAAGGGTACGCTTCAATTGGTGGTGGTTCTCCTCTTCGACGGATAACTGATGCACAGGCATGGCTTATGGCATAGTAACATTCTTCACTCATTAATAGCTTATCTGCACTTACATATTGTTTTAGATCTTTGTCACTTCTTGGAGCATCTTGTACTCTATAAATTTTGTAATTTCACATTATTGTAATGTCAACTCATCAGAAATTAAGAAGAGACGAGATAGAAGATGATTGTTCAGATGTGTTGAACTTCTCTCTGTCTGTTTAGCCATAATAAACAATTTATAACTTGAGGCATTGGATAGTGACGGTATTACACTTTACTATTGCCTGTATGGGGTCCTTTCACATTGTGTACTTTTTTTTGGGTTTTAGGGGGCTTCACCCTATCATCATTGGTAGTTTCATGGATGAAAATAGTTGGACATGCTGAAGGTCTGCCTTCCTCATGGGCTTTCAACTAAAAGTTGGGTCGTGGTCCCTAGCACCCAAATTATGGACATAAGTATGCTTTATCGATGGTTGTAGCTCTATTACTTAGAGAGAGAGAGGAAGGAAACAAATTTGAACAGAGTAAAGTTTCTGAGTCTTTTACTCATAGTAAATACAAGAATGGTACCTTCCATGCTAGTGCTTGGTAGCTGGCAAGGTGTACCGTCCAGTATTTGTTACATAAGGCAAAACAAGGCAGATACATTAAACAATGGTGTTGGAGATATTAACACACTTCCCTTGCTTAATTTCTACAGTAGTTCATAGTTGATGATTTGACAGGAAGTTTATTTAGATGCTTCCAAATGGTTCTCCAGATTATTACTCTGCTTTTGTGGTATCTTTATATTACGGATTCTCCAATGAATTTGAATTGAAGGCTTCTCCATTTGGTAATCTGAATGAGTGGGATTTGTGAATTCATCTCTGGCCTGTAACTTAAGACTGTGGTTTGGCATTGATAATTACTTTACCATGTGGGTCCTTTGGTAGAAACTTTTGCATTCTAGGTTTTGTTTTTTGTCAGGTATAATGGGAAGTTAGAACTAAATGTAGGCATCCTGGATGAAAATTTAAAAATAAATGAAAATGAGGTAATGTTAAGCTTGTAAAATAAAGTACGTATTTGCTTATAGGATGGTGGATGTATAATAAAGACATGCAGATTCTGTTGTTTTTTGTCCTTGTGTGCAGGTATTAAATATAAATTTTTTTTACTTTGCGCCATTATTGCGCATGTAACTATTCATTTGAAGTTTAAAAAAATAAAATTAGTTGAGCCCATTAATTGGTAGTCTTCCATAATATCAGAATCAGATGGGTGGAATGGGATTTCAAGAAGAATTCATGTCGTTCTTGACATTTCTTGTTTCTTTCTTTGTTGCTCTTTTTCTCTTGCTCTGCTTCTTGTTTTAGGATATTTCTTCCACACACTTGCTTCCCTTCAGTGAATAATTTTCTTCCGCNTCTTGTACTCTATAAATTTTGTAATTTCACATTATTGTAATGTTAACTCATCAGAAATTAAGAAGAGACGAGATAGAAGTTGCTTGTTCAGATGTGTTGAACTTCTCTCTGTCTGTTTAGCCATAATAAACAATTTATAACTTGAGGCATTGGATAGTGACGGTAGTACACTTTACTATTGCCTGTATGGGGTCCTTTCACATTGTGTACTTTTTTTTGGGTTTTAGGGGGCTTCACCCTATCATCATTGGTAGTTTCATGGATGAAAATAGTTGGACATGCTGAAGGTCTGCCTTCCTCATGGGCTTTCAACTAAAAGTTGGGTCGTGGTCCCTAGCACCCAAATTATGGACATAAGTATGCTTTATCGATGGTTGTAGCTCTATTACTTAGAGAGAGAGAGGAAGGAAACAAATTTGAACAGAGTAAAGTTTCTGAGTCTTTTACTCATAGTAAATACAAGAATGGTACCTTCCATGCTAGTGCTTGGTAGCTGGCAAGGTGTACCGTCCAGTATTTGTTACATAAGGCAAAACAAGGCAGATACATTAAACAATGGTGTTGGAGATATTAACACACTTCCCTTGCTTAATTTCTACAGTAGTTCATAGTTGATGATTTGACAGGAAGTTTATTTAGATGCTTCCAAATGGTTCTCCAGATTATTACTCTGCTTTTGTGGTATCTTTATATTACGGATTCTCCAATGAATTTGAATTGAAGGCTTCTCCATTTGGTAATCTGAATGAGTGGGATTTGTGAATTCATCTCCGGCCTGTAACTTAAGACTGTGGTTTGGCATTGATAATTACTTTACCATGTGGGTCCTTTGGTAGAAACTTTTGCATTCTAGGTTTTGTTTTTTGTCAGGTATAATGGGAAGTTAGAACTAAATGTAGGCATCCTGGATGAAAATTTAAAAATAAATGAAAATGAGGTAATGTTAAGCTTGTAAAATAAAGTACGTATTTGCTTATAGGATGGTGGATGTATAATAAAGACATGCAGATTCTGTTGTTTTTTGTCCTTGTGTGCAGGTATTAAATATAAATTTTTTTTACTTTGCGCCATTATTGCGCATGTAACTATTCATTTGAAGTTTAAAAAAATAAAATTAGTTGAGCCCATTAATTGGTAGTCTTCCATAATATCAGAATCAGATGGGTGGAATGGGATTTCAAGAAAAATTCATGTCGTTCTTGACATTTCTTGTTTCTTTCTTTGTTTCTCTTTTTCTCTTGCTCTGCTTCTTGTTTTAGGATATTTCTTTCACACACTTGCTTCCCTTCAGTGAATAATTTTCTTCCCCNTCAAAGTATTGAAATTTTAATTCAATCACTAATTCGTTTTGGTCTTCTTTGTAAACAGAAAGTTCAATTGTTTCAACCGTTTCAAAACAAATTTTTTATCCTTGGGAGTATCATTGTCACCACTTTCATCCTCTGTATGTATAATTTATGCCAAATATCGAAAGGATTCATTCTTTGATATTTCTTGATTTTCGATCTTTAGGACCTCCCAATTTGGATTTCTCCTCGTACAAATGTCTTACATATAGTAAGTTTTAAAGCATACTCGAGAGTAAAGCTTACTTCTTTTACCTGGTCAACTAGTTTTTGTAGTTCCTCCTAAGCCCCAAACTAGCGCATAGAGCAAGCGGTGCGCTATAATAGCTATTGACGAATGTAAATTTTGTCATCATAAGGTTTAGTGGAAGGATCGGTATCTTAAACTTTTAAGTAGGGTTCTTGGAGAAAGAGTGCGGATAGGCATATTGGTACACCATCTATGGATAATCAATTCCAATCAGCATTTGGTGGAAAGGTTTTGTGCGCGTCAGTATTTGTTCCTTCCACAATAGGTTTGTCTTCATCAACTCGTTCTGCTATAGTTGGACGTTTGATTTAGGTGCTACACATTGTACGACTAGTGATCCATCTTTCTATCTCCGAGCCCTATTCCTCCACTACTGTTATAGCAGCCAATGACACTTCCTTGATGTTTAAGTCATTAGAATTTTCTATTTTTACTTTTTTTTCTGCCGATTGTAGTGTGCAACATCCTTATTACAAGGTGTTAATTGGGTTGTTGAGTTAGAGTATAGTATGTGGTTGAGAAGTTGCGTATACCAGTTTATGGTTGCTTCTTGTGTTAGTTTGTCTTTGTTTTGATTTAGTCATAAAATCCTCGGGATTTTATTTATTGCATTGCCATTTTGGCCATCATTGTCATGATTTTACTTGATCTTGTTTGATATATCTCATGAAATAACTTTGTGGAATTTTGTTAATTTTTGCTGATTTTTCGTGTCATGATTCATACTCAATTTTGTCAATGTTCGTTTTCGGTGTGATTTTGGGTGTAGATACATATGTAATAACCTATATGACTTATTGAAATATGGTGAATCCTTGAATAGTTCTCTTGTGTACACATACTAACCCGAATGTATGGCTTAGCGACAGTTTAGTCTCATCATGGAAGCTTGTTGTTCTTTGTTTTTTGTTACGTATGGTATCACACGTTTTTGGGTTGAAGCGATTCTCAATATTTATCTCATTAGTTGGGTGCCTACTATTATGTTAGGTGTTTCTCCTTTCGAATTGTTATGTCGGAAACTTCATGATTACTTGTCTTTAAATGTAATTAGTATACTTGAAGTTGAGCATAATAAGTTATCTTCTTGTTTTCCTTTATGCATTTTTCTTCGTTTTTGTGCGGGATGTATTT